GCTCACTAGTGGAGGCAGCAAACAACAGAGGAGGTCAACCTTTAGCTTACTAGTGGAGGCAGTAAACAACAGAGGAGGTCAGACTTTAGCTCACTAGTGGAGGCAGTAAACAACAGAGGAGGTCAGACTTTAGCTCACTAGTGGAGGCAGTAAACAACAGAGGAGGTCAGACTTTAGCTCACTAGTGGAGGCAGTAAACAACAGAGGAGGTCAGAGGTCAACCTTTAGCTCACTAGTGGAGGCAGTAAACAACAGAGGAGGTCAGACTTTAGCTCACTAGTGGAGGCAGCAAACAACAGAGGAGGTCAACCTTTAGCTTACTAGTGGAGGCAGTAAACAACAGAGGAGGTCAGACTTTAGCTCACTAGTGGAGGCAGTAAACAACAGAGGAGGTCAGACTTTAGCTCACTAGTGGAGGCAGCAAACAACAGAGGAGGTCAGACTTTAGCTCACTAGTGGAGGCAGCAAACAACAGAGGAGGTCAGACTTTAGCTCACTAGTGGAGGCAGCAAACAACAGAGGAGGTCAGAGGTCAACCTTTAGCTCACTAGTGGAGGCAGTAAACAACAGAGGAGGTCAGACTTTAGCTCACTAGTGGAGGCAGCAAACAACAGAGGAGGTCAGAGGTCAACCTTTAGCTCACTAGTGGAGGCAGTAAACAACAGAGGAGGTCAGACTTTAGCTCACTAGTGGAGGCAGTAAACAACAGAGGAGGTCAGAGGTCAACCTTTAGCTCACTAGTGGAGGCAGCAAACAACAGAGGAGGTCAGACTTTAGCTCACTAGTGGAGGCAGCAAACAACAGAGGAGGTCAGACTTAAGCTCACTAGTGGAGGCAGCAAACAACAGAGGAGGTCAGACTTTAGCTCACTAGTGGAGGCAGCAAACAATAGAGGAGGTCAGACTTTAGCTCACTAGTGGAGGCAGTAAACAACAGAGGAGGTCAGAGGTCAACCTTTAGCTTACTAGTGGAGGCAGTAAACAACAGAGGAGGTCAGAGGTCAACCTTTAGCTTACTAGTGGAGGCAGTAAACAACAGAGGAGGTCAGACTTTAGCTCACTAGTGGAGGCAGTAAACAACAGAGGAGGTCAGACTTTAGCTCACTAGTGGAGGCAGTAAACAACAGAGGAGGTCAGACTTTAGCTCACTAGTGGAGGCAGTAAACAACAGAGGAGGTCAGAGGTCAACCTTTAGCTCACTAGTGGAGGCAGCAAACAACAGAGGAGGTCAGACTTTAGCTCACTAGTGGAGGCAGCAAACAACAGAGGAGGTCAGACTTTAGCTCACTAGTGGAGGCAGTAAACAACAGAGGAGGTCAGAGGTCAACCTTTAGCTCACTAGTGGAGGCAGTAAACAACAGAGGAGGTCAGACTTTAGCTCACTAGTGGAGGCAGCAAACAACAGAGGAGGTCAGAGGTCAACCTTTAGCTCACTAGTGGAGGCAGTAAACAACAGAGGAGGTCAGACTTTAGCTCACTAGTGGAGGCAGTAAACAACAGAGGAGGTCAGACTTTAGCTCACTAGTGGAGGCAGTAAACAACAGAGGAGGTCAGAGGTCAACCTTTAGCCCACTAGTGGAGGCAGCAAACAACAGAGGAGGTCAGAGGTCAACCTTTAGCCCACTAGTGGAGGCAGCAAACAACAGAGGAGGTCAGACTTTAGCTCACTAGTGGAGGCAGCAAACAACAGAGGAGGTCAGACTTTAGCTCACTAGTGGAGGCAGTAAACAACAGAGGAGGTCAGACTTTAGCTCACTAGTGGAGGCAGTAAACAACAGAGGAGGTCAGAGGTCAACCTTTAGCCCACTAGTGGAGGCAGCAAACAACAGAGGAGGTCAGACTTTAGCTCACTAGTGGAGGCAGTAAACAACAGAGGAGGTCAGAGGTCAACCTTTAGCTCACTAGTGGAGGCAGCAAACAACAGAGGAGGTCAGACTTTAGCTCACTAGTGGAGGCAGTAAACAACAGAGGAGGTCAGAGGTCAACCTTTAGCCCACTAGTGGAGGCAGTAAACAACAGAGGAGGTCAGACTTTAGCTCACTAGTGGAGGCAGTAAACAACAGAGGAGGTCAGACTTTAGCTCACTAGTGGAGGCAGTAAACAACAGAGGAGGTCAGACTTTAGCTCACTAGTGGAGGCAGCAAACAACAGAGGAGGTCAGACTTTAGCTCACTAGTGGAGGCAGGAAACAACAGAGGAGGTCAGACTTTAGCTCACTAGTGGAGGCAGTAAACAACAGAGGAGGTCAGACTTTAGCTCACTAGTGGAGGCAGTAAACAACAGAGGAGGTCAGACTTTAGCTCACTAGTGGAGGCAGTAAACAACAGAGGAGGTCAGACTTTAGCTCACTAGTGGAGGCAGTAAACAACAGAGGAGGTCAGAGGTCAACCTTTAGCTCACTAGTGGAGGCAGCAAACAACAGAGGAGGTCAGACTTTAGCTCACTAGTGGAGGCAGTAAACAACAGAGGAGGTCAGACTTTAGCTCACTAGTGGAGGCAGTAAACAACAGAGGAGGTCAGACTTTAGCTCACTAGTGGAGGCAGCAAACAACAGAGGAGGTCAGACTTTAGCTCACTAGTGGAGGCAGCAAACAACAGAGGAGGTCAGACTTTAGCTCACTAGTGGAGGCAGCAAACAACAGAGGAGGTCAGACTTTAGCTCACTAGTGGAGGCAGCAAACAACAGAGGAGGTCAGACTTTAGCTCACTAGTGGAGGCAGCAAACAACAGAGGAGGTCAGACTTTAGCTCACTAGTGGAGGCAGCAAACAACAGAGGAGGTCAGACTTTAGCTCACTAGTGGAGGCAGTAAACAACAGAGGAGGTCAGACTTTAGCTCACTAGTGGAGGCAGTAAACAACAGAGGAGGTCAGACTTTAGCTCACTAGTGGAGGCAGCAAACAACAGAGGAGGTCAGACTTTAGCTCACTAGTGGAGGCAGCAAACAACAGAGGAGGTCAGACTTTAGCTCACTAGTGGAGGCAGCAAACAACAGAGGAGGTCAGACTTTAGCTCACTAGTGGAGGCAGCAAACAACAGAGGAGGTCAGACTTTAGCTCACTAGTGGAGGCAGCAAACAACAGAGGAGGTCAGACTTTAGCTCACTAGTGGAGGCAGCAAACAACAGAGGAGGTCAGACTTTAGCTCACTAGTGGAGGCAGTAAACAACAGAGGAGGTCAGACTTTAGCTCACTAGTGGAGGCAGAAAACAACAGAGGAGGTCAGACTTTAGCTCACTAGTGGAGGCAGCAAACAACAGAGGAGGTCAGACTTTAGCTCACTAGTGGAGGCAGCAAACAACAGAGGAGGTCAGACTTTAGCTCACTAGTGGAGGCAGCAAACAACAGAGGAGGTCAGAGGTCAACCTTTAGCCCACTAGTGGAGGCAGTAAACAACAGAGGAGGTCAGACTTTAGCTCACTAGTGGAGGCAGCAAACAACAGAGGAGGTCAGACTTTAGCTCACTAGTGGAGGCAGCAAACAACAGAGGAGGTCAGACTTTAGCTCACTAGTGGAGGCAGCAAACAACAGAGGAGGTCAGAGGTCAACCTTTAGCTCACTAGTGGAGGCAGTAAACAACAGAGGAGGTCAGACTTTAGCTCACTAGTGGAGGCAGCAAACAACAGAGGAGGTCAGAGGTCAACCTTTAGCTCACTAGTGGAGGCAGTAAACAACAGAGGAGGTCAGACTTTAGCTCACTAGTGGAGGCAGTAAACAACAGAGGAGGTCAGAGGTCAACCTTTAGCTCACTAGTGGAGGCAGCAAACAACAGAGGAGGTCAGACTTTAGCTCACTAGTGGAGGCAGCAAACAACAGAGGAGGTCAGACTTTAGCTCACTAGTGGAGGCAGCAAACAACAGAGGAGGTCAAAGGTCAACCTTTAGCTCACTAGTGGAGGCAGTAAACAACAGAGGAGGTCAGACTTTAGCTCACTAGTGGAGGCAGCAAACAACAGAGGAGGTCAGACTTTAGCTCACTAGTGGAGGCAGCAAACAACAGAGGAGGTCAGACTTTAGCTCACTAGTGGAGGCAGCAAACAACAGAGGAGGTCAGACTTTAGCTCACTAGTGGAGGCAGTAAACAACAGAGGAGGTCAGACTTTAGCTCACTAGTGGAGGCAGCAAACAACAGAGGTCAGAGGTCAACCTTTAGCTCACTAGTGGAGGCAGCAAACAACAGAGGTCAGAGGTCAACCTTTAGCTCACTAGTGGAGGCAGCAAACAACAGAGGAGGTCAGAGGTCAACCTTTAGCCCACTAGTGGAGGCAGCAAACAACAGAGGAGGTCAGAGGTCAACCTTTAGCTCACTAGTGGAGGCAGTAAACAACAGAGGAGGTCAGACTTTAGCTCACTAGGGGAGGCAGCAAACAACAGAGGAGGTCAGACTTTAGCCCACTAGTGGAGGCAGTAAACAACAGAGGAGGTCAGACTTTAGCTCACTAGTGGAGGCAGTAAACAACAGAGGAGGTCAGACTTTAGCTCACTAGTGGAGGCAGCAAACAACAGAGGAGGTCAGAGGTCAACCTTTAGCTTACTAGTGGAGGCAGCAAACAACAGAGGAGGTCAGACTTTAGCTCACTAGTGGAGGCAGCAAACAACAGAGGAGGTCAGAGGTCAACCTTTAGCTCACTAGTGGAGGCAGTAAACAACAGAGGAGGTCAGAGGTCAACCTTTAGCTTACTAGTGGAGGCAGCAAACAACAGAGGAGGTCAGACTTTAGCTCACTAGTGGAGGCAGCAAACAACAGAGGAGGTCAGAGGTCAACCTTTAGCTCACTAGTGGAGGCAGCAAACAACAGAGGAGGTCAGACTTTAGCTCACTAGTGGAGGCAGCAAACAACAGAGGAGGTCAGACTTTAGCTCACTAGTGGAGGCAGCAAACAACAGAGAGGACCAACCAAACATTCAACAACAGATAGGACCAACGAGTAAGAGGACCAACAATTGAGAGGACAAACAAGTGAGAGGACCAACAGAGAAGACCAACAAGTAAAATGACACCAACCTTCCACAGCTGAGTGAGGTTAGCAACGAACTCGTCCATCATCTCCTTGGTGTGGTGTGGGGTGGGGGCACAGCGCAGACGTTCAGTACCACGAGCAACAGTGGGGTAGTTGATAGACTGGACGTAGATGCCGTACCTGCTGATCAGGTCGTTGGACATCTTGGTGCAGATCTCAGCGTCTCCAACCTACCACAGACATAGCTTTTACAGACAAGGGAAATAACTTGCTTTTTACAAGATATGACAAGGGAAGTAACTTTTTAAATGTCTAAATAAAGGCAAATTGTGCGAGCTGAAACAATCAAGTATACAGATGTGGAATGTGAAGACGGAGATTCTCTAAATAAAGAAATGTGACCAACCATGATGGGGATAATGTGGCTAGGGCTATGCTGGGCAGGTAGACCAGCTGCTACAAGCTTCTCTCGTAGATACTTCACGTTACGTTGTTGACGAGCTCGAAGTTCTCTCCCCTCATCACTGGCCAAAACCTAAAGCAAAATTTTAAAAGTTTACTTCAATTTATAGGAACTGTTTGTACCATCAAGCCATCACATGATACAGGTCAAAGATCAGTCTTCAGCTCTATGTTACCTAATCTACCTGTACATACACCAACATCCATACATTCATACAACAACGTCCATACATTTATACAACAACATTCACACATTCATACAACAACATTCACACATTCATACAACAACATTCACACATTCATACAACAACATCATCACACATTCATACAACAACATTCACACATTCATACAACAACATTCACACATTCATACAACAACATTCACACATTCAAACAACATTCACACATTCATACAACAACATTCACACATTCATACAACAACATTCACACATTCATACAACAACATTCACACATTCATACAACATTCACACATTCATACAACAACATCATCACACATTCATACAACAACATCATCACACATTCATACAACAACATACACACATTCATACACCAACATCCACACATTCATACAACAACATCATCACACATTCATACAACAACATCCACACATTAATACAACAACATCATCACACATTCATACAACAACATCCACACATTCATACAACAACATCCACACATTCATACAACAACATTCACACATTCATACAACAACATCATCACACATTCATACAACAACATCCACACATTCATACACCAACATCCACACATTCATACACCAACATACACACATTCATACAACAACATCCACACATTTATACAACAACATCCACACATTCATACAACAACATTCACACATTCATACAACAACATTCACACATTCATACAACAACATTCACACATTCATACAACAACATCATCACACATTCATACAACAACATTCACACATTTATACAACTACATTCACACATTCATACACCAACATACACACATCCACACAACATCCACCAGTACACACAACAACACCCATACCTTACCAATACCACACCCACTTAAAACCACAGAACCCACCTTGATGGAAGCCAGACAGCCATTTAAAACAGTTGGAGGCAGTGATGTGGTGAAGATGAAGCCGGCACCAAAACTTCGTATCATGTCCACCAGCTGAGCTGAGCCAACAATGTAGCCACCCATGTTACCAAATGCCTTGCCTGTTCATACCAAATGTTACAAGCCATCAATGACTTACAACTTCAAGGACTTTATGCATAACAAAAATATATCTAACTAAACTTGTCTTCTATAGGTGTCTTCTCAAGCTAGTGACTGGGTATTTCAAAACACATGAAATTAAAGGCCTTTTTATTTTTAACGTAAATTAACTAACAAACAGTCAATAATATTGTAAGCAGTGTGTCATGTTTGTGTTGTGTACAAACCTAGAGTGCCAGATATAATGTGTACAAACCTAGAGTGCCAGATATAATGTGTACAAACCTAGAGTGCCAGATATAATGTGTACAAACCTAGAGTGCCAGATATAATGTGTACAAACCTAGAGTGCCAGATATAATGTGTACAAACCTAGAGTGCCAGATATATTGTGTACAAACCTAGAGTGCCAGATAGAATGTGTACAAACCTAAAGTGCCAGATATAATGTGTACAAACCTAGAGTGTCAGATATAATGTGTACAAACCTAGAGTGCCAGATAGAATGTGTACAAACCTAGAGTGCCAGATATAATGTGTACAAACCTAGAGTGCCAGATATAATGTGTACAAACCTAGAGTGCCAGATATAATGTGTACAAACCTAGAGTGCCAGATATAATGTGTACAAACCTAGAGTGCCAGATATAATGTGTACAAACCTAGAGTGCCAGATAGAATGTGTACAAACCTAGAGTGCCAGATATAATGTGTACAAACCTAGAGTGCCAGATAGAATGTGTACAAACCTAAAGTGCCAGATATAATGTGTACAAACCTAGAGTGTCAGATATAATGTGTACAAACCTAGAGTGCCAGATAGAATGTGTACAAACCTAGAGTGCCAGATATAATGTGTACAAACCTAGAGTGCCAGATAGAATGTGTACAAACCTAGAGTGCCAGATAGAATGTGTACAAACCTAGAGTGCCAGATATAATGTGTACAAACCTACAGTGCCAGATATAATGTGTACAAACCTAGAGTGCCAGATAGAATGTGTACAAACCTAGAGTGCCAGATATAATGTCCATCTTGTCCAGACAGTTGTCCTGCTCCCCTACACCAGCACCGTGGGCACCATACAGACCAACAGCGTGGACTTCATCAACAAAGGTCAAGGCCCCGTACTTGTGGGCTACATCACACATCTCAGATGTTGGACAGATGGAGCCTGGGGTGGGGTGGACAACACAGTGGGTTAACATAGGTAAGAAACCCAAAAGAGAAGGGTTAACACCTGACACCCAACACCTGACACCCAACACCTGACACCCCAACAGCTGACACCCAACCCCCTGACACCCAACACCTGACACCCAACCCCCTGACACCCAACACCCCAACACCCAACACCTGACACCCCAACCCCCCTCTGCTCACCATCCATGGAGTGCACCGTCTCAAAAGCCACGACCTTAGGAACGTTGGGGTCCACCTTCTTGAGCAGCTCCTCCAGGTGGTCGGGGTCGTTGTGACGGAAGACGTGCTTCTTGGCCATGCTGGTGCGTATACCTTGTATCATAGAGGCGTGGTTCCCGGCATCAGAGAAGAAGTGCATGCCTGGGGAAGGAACATGGCGACATTGTAGGGAACATGGGAACTGGATGTAGGGAACATGAGGGATGGGTAAAGATTATTCAATGTTGGTAATTTATATAGGGCCATGTTGCATTTATCTAGGGCCATGTGTAGGGCCATATGTGTAGGGCCATGTGTGTGGGCCATGTGTGTAGGGCCATGTGTGTGGACCATGTGTGTGGACCATGTGTGTGGGCCATGTGTGTGGGCCGTGTGTGTAGGGCCATGTGTGTGGACCATGTGTGTGGGCCATGTGTGTGGGCCATGAGCCAACTCACCAGGGAGATGTTTGCCTAGAGTGAAGAGAGTGGTGTCGTTGGCCACGTAGCATGAGGAGAAGACGAGGCCGGCCTCTTTCTGATGCAGCTTGGCCAGTTCCTTCTCCAGCCTCTCGTGGAGGGGGGAGTTGCCAGAGATATTCCTGGTGCCTCCAGACCCAGCGCCATGTTTGATCAGAGCCTCGCTGACAGACAGACAACATCAACCGTCAGTCACCAGTGGTCAACTCAACAGTCACCAGTGGTCAACTCAACAGTCGCCAGTGGTCAACTCAACAGTCGCCAGTGGTCAACTCAACAGTCACCAGAGGTCAAATCAACAGTCACCAGTGGTCAACTCAACAGTCACCAGTGGTCAAATCAACAGTCACAAGTGGTCAAATCAACAGTCACCAGTGGTCAACTCAACAGTCACCAGTGGTCAAATCAACAGTCATCAGTGGTCAAATCAACAGTCACCAGTGGTCAACTCAACAGTCACCAGTGGTCAACTCAACAGTCACCAGTGGTCAACTCAACAGTCACCAGTGGTCACCTCAACAGTCGCCAGTGGTCAACTCAACACTTCCATGCACCAAGGTGACCTTCAACACCTACCTGACAGCTTCCTTGACCTTGGGGTGCCAGCTCATGCCCAGGTAGTCGTTGCTACACCAGACAGTGATGTCCTTCTCAGTGCCGGAGCTGTGCTCGTAAGCGTGGGGGAAGGAGGAGGCGTCACGCATCACTTTCTTGAAGACACGGTACGTGTGCTCCTCTTTCTTCTTCTGCAACTGGCTAGAGAAGAATCCGTCATAGTTGAAGAAGCGGGATGTTGCCTTCTCTGGAACAAATTTTTTATAAGGTTTTAAATTTTTACAAATGGTTCCATAATTTCCAAGAAATAAGGGGGTCAAGTACTTCAGTTCTTTTTTACTTTCTCGTATATACAAGGTATAGAGAAAGTATTGTAATCGTGCACAAAAATAACATGAAATTTTTACAGTTTTCACCGTTTTACTCCTCAGTCCTTCATCACATCCGGAGTACAGAGGACTTATTTTAATCAGGCAAAAATTATAAATACAAATATATAAACGTTTTGGCGTTTTATGCGTTATCGAGTCGTAAAAACTGGACTTTGCAATTCTGTCCGTATGTCTGTGTGTCTGTCTGTGTGTAAACACGATAACTTGAGTACCGTTACAGCTAAGTTGATGAAATTTTATATATAATCATTTTATCAAAATTGTAGATCCTGATCAACTTTTGAGCGATTTCCGATTACCGGAAGTGGTACTTTTTCTACTTTGAATTTTTCAAAAGCCTATAAGTTGCGTACTATTTTAGATAGATGCATGAAATTTCACATGTAAGTAAAAGATCTAATTATCTACCTTCTGTCAAATTTTGAGTAATTTCCGTTGACCGGAAGTACTAATTTACGCTATTTCCGATTTCTCAAAAAACGCATGTAAATTTATAAAGTACTAATAATGTCCCGCACTTTTATACACATTTTATTAGGCGTTCACTTGGTGTGGGACGGAGTGGTCTAGCGGTAGAGAGCTGGACTGCTAACCCGTTAGTCTCGAGTTCGAATCCGAGTTCAAGTCAGGTTAGAAAGGGAAACTTTTCACTTGGTGTGCAATTCTTTTTTTTTTACGAGATTCTATTCTATTATAAAAAGTTTAAGTAATTAAAAATAGATAACAAATATTGTCTATGTCCTGAGTTGCCATCCCTCGTAATTTTATATTAGAATATTCGAGAATGTTTAGGGGAGATCACTCCCGGTTTATTTCAAATGTTGATGTTTGTTCAAGCCTACATTCCTGGCAAGATTCTCACGTCACATCTCCGTAGGTCTCACTTTTCCTGTCACCAGTTAGACTCACCAGATGTCTCTGGAGGTCCACCAACTCACCTGTGTCCACCTGCTTGACGTCTCTAGTCTTAAGGTCCACCAACTCACCTGTGTCCACCTGCTTGACGTCTCTAGTCTTAAGGTCCAGCAACTCACCTGTGTCCACCTGCTTGACGTCTCTAGTCTTAAGGTCCAGCAACTCACCTGTGTCCACCTGCTTGACGTCTCTAGTCTTAAGGTCCAGCAACTCACCTGTGTCCACCTGCTTGATGTCTCTAGTCTTAAGGTCCAGCAACTCACCTGTGTCCACCTGCTTGATGTCTCTAGTCTTAAGGTCCACCAACTCACCTGTGTCCACCTGCTTGACGTCTCTAGTCTTAAGGTCCAGCAACTCACCTGTGTCCACCTGCTTGATGTCTCTAGTCTTAAGGTCCACCAACTCACCTGTGTCCACCTGCTTGACGTCTCTAGTCTTAAGGTCCAGCAACTCACCTGTGTCCACCTGCTTGATGTCTCTAGTCTTAAGGTCCAGCAACTCACCTGTGTCCACCTGCTTGACGTCTCTAGTCTTAAGGTCCAGCAACTCACCTGTGTCCACCTGCTTGATGTCTCTAGTCTTAAGGTCCACCAACTCACCTGTGTCCACCTGCTTGACGTCTCTAGTCTTAAGGTCCAGCAACTCACCTGTGTCCACCTGCTTGATGTCTCTAGTCTTAAGGTCCAGCAACTCACCTGTGTCCACCTGCTTGATGTCTCTAGTCTTAAGGTCCAGCAACTCACCTGTGTCCACCTGCTTGATGTCTCTAGTCTTAAGGTCCAGCAACTCACCTGTGTCCACCTGCTTGACGTCTCTAGTCTTAAGGTCCAGCAACTCACCTGTGTCCACCTGCTTGACGTCTCTAGTCTTAAGGTCCAGCAACTCACCTGTGTCCACCTGCTTGACGTCTCTAGTCTTAAGGTCCAGCAACTCACCTGTGTCCACCTGCTTGACGTCTCTAGTCTTAAGGTCCAGCAACTCACCTGTGTCCACCTGCTTGACGTCTCTAGTCTTAAGGTCCAGCAACTGCTGCTGGCTGATGGCGTCCTCCTGTACAGCCCTGCTAGCCTCAGTCACAGTCACCTCCCCTGTGCTCAGGAAGGGACATTTGGCAGACTCGGGGTCAACGGCTGGACTGGCTTCAGCTGGAGGCAGACAAGAGGCAGACTTTAGGAGACAAGAGGCAGACTTTAAACGGAGGCAAGAGGTAGACTTTTAGAAGCAGACAAGAGGCAGAATTATAGAAGCAGACAAGAGGCAGACTTTAGGAGACAAGAGGCAGACTTTAAACGGAGGCAAGAGGTAGACTTTTAGAAGCAGACAAGAGGCAGAATTATAGAAGCAGACAAGAGGCAGACTTTAGGAGACAAGAGGCAGACTTTAAACGGAGACAAGAGGCAGACTTTTAGAAGCAGACAAGAGGCAGAATTATAGAAGCAGACAAGAGGCAGACTTTAGGAGACAAGAGGCAGACTTTAAACGGAGACAAGAGGCAGACTTTAAAAGGAGACAAGAGGCAGACTTTTAGAAGCAGACAAGAGGCAGAATTATAGAAGCAACCAAGAGGCAGACTTTAGGAGACAAGAGGCAGACTTTAAACGGAGACAAGAGGCAGACTTTAAAAGGAGACAAGAGGCAGACTTTAGGAGACAAGAGGCAGACTTTAGGAGACAAGAGGCAGACTTTTAGAAGCAGACAAGAGGCAGAATTATAGAAGCAGACAAGAGGCAGACTTTAGGAGACAAGAGGCAGACTTTAAACGGAGACAAGAGGCAGACTTTAAAAGGAGACAAGAGGCAGACTTTAGGAGACAAGAGGCAGACTTTAGGAGACAAGAGGCAGACTTTAGGAGACAAGAGGCAGACTTTAGGAGACAAGAGGCAGACTTTAAACGGAGGCAAGAGGTAGACTTTTAGAAGCAGACAAGAGGCAGAATTATAGAAGCAGACAAGAGGCAGACTTTAAAAGGAGACAAGAGGCAGACTTTAAAAGGAGACAAGAGGCAGACTTTAAAAGGAGACAAGAGGCAGACTTTAAAAGGAGACAAGAGGCAGACTTTAGGAGACAAGAGGCAGACTTTAGGAGACAAGAGGCAGTATTATAGAAGCAGACAAGAGGCAGACTTTAAAAGGAGACAAGAGGCAGACTTTAGGAGACAAGAGGCAGACTTTAGGAGACAAGAGGCAGACTTTAGGAGACAAGAGGCAGACTTTAAACGGAGGCAAGAGGTAGACTTTAGGAGACAAGAGGCAGACTTTAGGAGATAAGAGGCAGTATTATAGAAGCAGACAAGAGGCAGACTTTAAAAGGAGACAAGAGGCAGACTTTAAAAGGAGACAAGAGGCAGACTTTAAAAGGAGACAAGAGGCAGACTTTAAAAGGAGACAAGAGGCAGACTTTAAAAGGAGACAAGAGGCAGACTTTAGGAGACAAGAGGCAGACTTTAGGAGACAAGAGGCAGTATTATAGAAGCAGACAAGAGGCAGACTTTAAAAGGAGACAAGAGGCAGACTTTAAAAGGAGACAAGAGGCAGACTTTAAAAGGTGACAAGAGGCAGACTTTAAAAGGAGACAAGAGGCAGACTTTAGGAGACAAGAGGCAGTATTATAGAAGCAGACAAGAGGCAGACTTTAAAAGGAGACAAGAGGTAGACTTTTAGAAGCAGATGAGGCAGAATTTTAGCAGACAAAATGCAGACATTTTTTATTGTTAGCGACAGACAAGAGCAGACCTGCCATGAGCGAACTACCCACCATTCTCACTGCTGATGGAGCTCTGTGGCCGGGCATGCATCATGACCGGACACTTGTCCACGTAGTTCAGCAACAGAGGGGCGAACTGGCGGATACTGGACATGGAGAACTTGTTCAAAAATGGACAAGCTGCGGAATTCATGGTCAGCGGTCTTCAACACGAACTGTGGGGGAAAAAACATTGGAAGTTAGAGGGGGGAGACGCTAGTTGTAGTGGGGAGACTCAAGTTGTAGTGGGGAAACAAGTTGTAGTGGGGGGGGGGGCCTCAAGTTGTAGTTGGGAGATTCAAATTGTAGTGGGAGACTCAAATTGTAGTGGGGAGACTCAAGTTGTAGTGGGGAGACTCAAATTGTAGTGGGGAGACTCAAATTGTAGTGGGGAGACTCAAATTGTAGTGGGGAGACTCAAATTGTAGAGGGGGGGGAGACTCAAGTTGTAGTGGGGAGACTCAAGTTGTAGTGGGGAGACTCAAGTTGTAGTGGGGAGACTCAAATTCTAGTGGGGAGACTCAAATTGTAGTGGGGAGACTCAAATTGTAGTGGTAAGACTCAAGTTGTAGTGGGGAGACTCAAATTGTAGTGGGGGGGGGACTCAAATTGTAGTGGGGGGGGGGCTCAAATTATAGTGGGGGGTCAAATTGTAGTGGGGGGGGGGGGGAACTCAAGTTGTAGTGGGTAGACTCAAATTGTAGTGGGAGGGGGGGCCTCAAATTGTAGTGGGTGGGCTCAAATTGTAGTGGGGAGACTCAAATTGTAGTGGGGAGACTCAAATTGTAGTGGGGAGGCTCAAGTTGTAGTGGGGAGACTCAAATTGTAGTGGGGAGGCTCAAGTTGTAGTGGGGAGACTCAAAGTGTAGTGGGGGGGAGCTCAAATTGTAGTGGGGAGAGACGATGTCCATACGGCTACAATTATGTAAATAGGCCATGACCAATCAACTTTGGATTTTCAACCTTTAATACCTGATTGCCCCCCCCCCCCCCTTCCAAACACGACACAGCAGATGGCACCAGAGTGATAGCCGCAAAACTCGGACAGACGTGGACAGGGCCAGTCAACAGGAAGTGAATGACGTCACTGAGTCTCGCGATAGACCAAAGTAGACTTAAAAAACTGGAGAGTTACAAACGGTGTATTCACCAGCCAGCGCGAGATACGAGCTCCCCACCCCGCCCTCGTACAACCTCGGTCGTCTGCTACGTGCTGGCCGGCATGGAGCAGACGTGAGCTCAACAACCGTGCCCAGGGGCCTGTACTTTGGTCTCAGTTTACAGGTAAGGGGGAGGGGGAGATCACGTGGGAAGCCCTAGAGTACACCCATTAGCTCTAACACCCGTTACCGCATTTTTTCAAGTTGATTTGTTGGATGAGCTTTTGATGTTGACGTCACCAGAAAAATAATGAGGAACGTCAGATCTTAAGCTCATTATCCCTGAGTAGAAAATTGTAAGGTACGTGACAGGCAGTAGGTCTACTCGTCTCTAATAGGGTGGGAGCAGCCGGCGTGAACGGTGGTCTGACAGGATGTGACAGTCGAGCGTGAACAGTGCTGTGACAGCACGTGACAGTCACGATACTTTGTGGCACTAGATTGCCTTTAATGTGTCATGTCACCTTCTGTCAGCAAAATTTGAAATTAAAAAGATTTATTTCCGAACCTCCATTTTGAGGCACTAAGTATTTTCTTCGAGCTACGGTCACCGAGTACAAGTGTCTCGGTCCTTGTTGTGTTCAACACTAGCAATACTTGAAGCTTAATGAATGGGATCTCAGAGGGAATTTTTTTTAAACGAGCTGACCCACGGCGTATCATACGCCGCTATTTAGTTGTTTTATTTTCTACTTTTCAGTAATTCATCATTTGTGAATTCGACAGTATCAATGCTGCCACTGAAAATATTTGCTTTAAAACACTATCAGTAAGTCGTTAAGGACGATAACCCCCCCCCCCCCCCCCCTCATTTCCCCCCAACTCCCCCCCCCCCCCCCCCAGTGAAAGCAGCCTCCTCTTAGCTAGCTCCCCTAAGTTTAAAATCGTTTCAAATTAAATTATCTGCCCCTAATAGCCGTCACTAAACCCGGCTCTGCGATTGTAAACATTTAGTGTGAACCACCGCTCACCAGACTTCCTAGAGAGGAAGAGAGGGGACTGCAAGGCGCGCTTACAGCTTGTTTTCTAACGTCTCAAAGAAGAGAATTATATATATAGAAGATAATTATATAACAGTGTTAACAAACTTTTACTTATGCACTTAAAAGGGGAAAAAAACGATTTTCTTTAAATATAATAATGCACCACTCTTTATAAAATGCTAAAAAACCGCGCATCCTTAATGCACAATAACATATACTCCACATGCCGAGTAATAGAGTCTTAAAACGACTTTCAATTACTGCTAAAAAGTGTATAAATCTAATAAATCAGATGATATTAACTAACAGTTTTGGGTAACCAATATTTATATACATCAACACCTTTGCATGTCCAACACCCAGGGGGCAGTTGAAGTAGAGTTTATTTGTTTCATGACATCGGCAAACAGAAGTAGTGTGATTTCTATAAATAGTTGGGAATTATTATATTTGAGTAAAATCGTTGTATTTTCTTCTTTAGACTGCATAAATAAAATCTTGTTATAATAAACGTTATTGTATTTTCATCCTTACTTTTTAGCTTAAAGAAGTAAAAAAAAAATACTTTTTAGAGCTTAAAGAAGTAAAAAAAAGAAAAGGAATATCTAAATTCATTTTAGAATACGTGCTTAGTTTGAAACAAATCGGTTCGGTGGAAGTGGTTTAATTGTGTTCAAAAGTTCTGATTCATCATGACGGGAAATCGTTAAAAAAAAAGTGGGGAAAAAAGTGGATAAAGAAAGTCATCTCGGTTAATACAACCCCGCTAGATGGTCCAAGTATTCTCAACAATTTTTTTATTTTTAAAAATCCGACATTTAAAAAAAGATAATGCGATGGTATTTACTCACTTTTGTACACAAATTGATAACTTTTAGAATAAATATAAACTTTCAAATGCATTAAAGATAAGACAATACATGTTTATTCTAGTTATACAAGAAAGAGGTTGGACAGATTTTTGAACGACCAAATAATAAAAGAAATATTTTTATTTTCAAAAGTTAGTTATTTTAAAGATTACTAAACTTTGTTTTATACTCTTTATTCTATATTTTAGTAGCAACATTGATGAATAGTTACATATATCATGTCAACACATCTAATTAGGGGGACTATTCTGATTTTAGTTCTTAGACGGGTCAAAAAATGTCAGTTAATTAGGCATAATGGCTTTATGACTGAATTTTTTTTTAGTTAATTAGAGGGACCATAATGGTTTTATGACTGAAAAAAAATGTCAGTTAATTAGGGGGACCATAATGGCTTTATGACTGAATTTTTTTTTAGTTAATTAGGGGGACCATAACGGTTTTATGACAAAAAAAATGTCAGTTAATTAGGGGGACCATAATGGCTTTATGACTAATTAAAGTCAGTTAAAAATAAAAAAGACATCGTACCTGAGTGTGAGAAAAGACGTGAGAACTCAGCAGACTTGGTCGTAGACCTGACTGCTGGGTGCCAGTAGCGGGGTCGCGTCTTATATACCTGCCGGCTGGGCGCGGTAGGGGGTGGGGCATTCGAATGGTGTCACTGCTTAAAATGGTGTCAGTGCTTAAAATGGTGTCAGTGCTTAAAATGGTGTCAGTCCTTAAAGCTGTGGCGGTGCCGGAGGAATGACTGGTGACCGCCTAATGTCGAGGGGTCATCAGTTACCAGACAGCCACTACACCCCCCCCCTCTCCCAAACACAACAAAACCACTACAACCCCACTCCGGAAAAAGTGTTAAGCTTTGCTGTTACATAACAAGGACGGGGTTTTTCGACCTGTTCTAAATCTTCCTGTCATGTGTTGGCTGTCTAGGGGGAGGGGGGCAGACGTTTATTGGTCAGTTAAAATGATAAGAATTGAGTGTACACTCACGTGGTATGGGAAAAGTGATGTTATACTATATAGAGGTGAAGGCTATTAAATTCAGCTAAAATTATGTGTTAGTGCTGACCGCGTGATCTAAATGAGCACGTGGAGTTTTGACATCGCGGACTTTAAAGACGTCGTAAATTCTAGAGCTACAGAGCACACACACACACATGCACACACACACACACACACACGTATTTTTGAGATGTTTGTTTTTCAAGAAATGAACGGGGATGACCAAGTCTTAGACCAATGGCTAGCGTCAGTGAGAGATGAGCACTGAGAGATGAGCACTGAGAGATGAGCACTGAGAGGTGAGCACTGAGAGATGAGCACTGAGAGATGAGCACTGAGAGGTGAGCACTGAGAGATGAGCACTGAGAGATGAGCACTGAGAGATGAGCACTGAGAGATGAGCACTGAGAGATGAGCACTGAGAGATGAGCACTGAGAGATGAGCACTGAGAGATGAGCACTGAGAGGTGAGCACTGAGAGATGAGCACTGAGAGATGAGCACTGAGAGATGAGCACTGAGAGATGAGCACTGAGAGATGAGCACTGAGAGGTGAGCACTGAGAGGTGAGCACTGAGAGATGAGCACTGAGAGATGAGCACTGAGAGATGAGCACTGGGGGGGGGGGGCGACATTTAACTTGAGTGGCGTTTCAGTTTGGTGGACAAAACTTCATATACAGTGGTACCCCGACATACGAGTGCCCTGACATACACGTGCCTCGACAAACAAGTGCCCCGACACACGAGTGCCCCGACATACAAATACCTCGACATACAAGTGCCCCGACGTAATGCCACGACATACACGAGCTTTAGATACGAGTAGTCGAGCGAGCTAAACTTAGCTTGACGTACGAGCAAAATTTGAGATACGAGTAACCGGATTAGCGGGTTCAGTTCTTGGAAAAGAAACACCCTGAAAAAGTTGCAACTGATTGTGCGTTTAATGAATCATTCCCGAAACATTCCGAAAGGGAGGGAAAAAGAAACTCTTTGGTGAGGTTTATTTTAAAGGATAACGTGGAAAGTTACGAAAGCGTGGCGAACAAAAAGCACAGACCAGCGAATTAACCATAAGTTGGTTTCTCTATCAACTTTTGGGAAATATCCGGTAACCGGATATGGTAGCAATACTCGCTTCACGGTTTCTCAGTAACTTTCAGAATAAAAAAATATTATATCATATCATAAAGCAGCATACTTCAAGAACTTTTCGCATGGATATCTCGGATAACACTGGAAGGTCCACTCCACCTACGTACAAGAAAGTTGAGGGGAGATCAAGTTAACGTGAAGAATCAGCCGAGTGTATGTGTACCTATTGTCAAGTTAACGTGAAGAACCAGCCGAGTGTATGTGTACCTATTGTCCTTTCCCTGTACCGGCAAGACCAGGCCACAGGATGGAGGTACATACAAAAATAAGAGTTGGCCAGGCCACAGGATGGAGGTACATACAAAAATAAGAGTTGGCCAGGCCACAGGATGGAGGTACATACAAAAATAAGAGTTGGCCAGGCCACAGGATGGAGGTACATACAAAAATAAGAGTTGGCCAGGCCACAGGATGGAGGTACATACAAAAATAAGAGTTGGCCAGGCCACAGGATGGAGGTACATACAAAAATAAGAGTTGGCCAGGCCACAGGATGGAGGTACATACAAAAATAAGAGTTGGCCAGGCCACAGGATGGAGGTACATACAAAAATAAGAGTTGGCCAGGCCACAGGATGGAGGCACATACAAAAATAAGAGTTGGCCAGACATCACAAGATCACACCCCCCCCCCCCCCCCAACACCACCACGCCCCAAAAAAATCTGACCTATTTTTCCAGTCACGAGACTCGCAATTTTTAAAAATCTTGACCTGAGTTCTTTATCCAGGTCAAAGCAAACATTACACAACCAGTGTAACGCGGGGGGGAGGGGGAGGGGGAGAGAAATGACTTTGGTTTTCTCGATTTATGTCCATTTATATGTCAAATATTGTAAATGTAATTGTGCTTTTGTACAAGTCCATAATGTATATTTATATGCACATTTTCTACATATATAAAACTGTATATGTAATTGTGCATATATATATATATATATATATATATATATATATATATATATATATATATATATATATATATAAATTAGTGCATATGTATATGTATAGATATGTGTACATAAAAAAAATTTATGCTAAAGCAATTTTTCTATATAAAATATTTTACGAAAGAGCCCCTCTTACTTTTCCAAAAACATAACTTCGCGTACTCTGGTTCTAATTTGTGGAACAATCTTTCTAATAAAATATAACTATCTATATCTGAAAATAAATTGAAATCTTAACTAAAACAACAACTATTTAATGATCTCCATAACCGACTCATTGCAACATTTGTTAAGCATCTATTATATTATTACTCTCATTTTGTATTATAAGTATGTAATATTATTTCTTTATTCTAAATTGTTAAATGCAATGATATTGCTATGGCTATGTCTTTACTACTCAATTGCTTTTTATTCAAATATTGTTATGTTTTTTTTTTTAAATGGCCATTGTGAAAAAGGGGCCTCCTCGCCTAATGTTCTTTCCTTTTTTTTATAATAAAGAATCTAATACATACAGTTCAATTCTGTATGCATGTGAACGCGGACAGCGGACCAGTGATTGGGAAAAAATAGACTTGATAGCCATAGTGTGATATATCTAAAGTGCTCATCATCTGCTAAATTAATATAAAAAAAATATTGAAGGTGTTGGAAACAAATTTTACTTTCCAAACTTATAGTGTTGATTGACGGCATGTGCATTAAACAAAATTAATGAAAATGTATCACAAAAATTCTAATTGTGTCTGAAAATTATTTACATTTAGTCTTTAGCACTCATTCAGTCCCTTGAGAAATTAGGAAAACACAATTAATTCCCTTTAAAAACATTATATGGGGGGGGGGGGGGAATTTACTTTTTATTACTTTGTTGGAGGGGGGGGAATAATTATATCAATAGCGTGGATTGATCGAGTGTAATTTGGTAAGTAAAACACACATATTTTAAATACTGAGTTTTATTTATTTTATACGCGGAACGTACTGTTTACTAAATATTATTTGTAATCAATTACAGTTTAGAAGCCAATCCTAAATGTCCTCTATGTTTACTTCTATCTTTCCGTTTGCGGATAAGCTTGGGGTATTATAGACGTTCACTAAATTGAAACAGGCGCATCCGACGGCGCCCCGGCAGGGTTCGATTAAGCGCCCTGGGCTATCTTGTGAACGCTATGGTGCATAATTTCGTTTTAAACGGTGTGATAGATAATGGATAAGAATGGTTAATTTAACTGAATCAAATATGGGCGTCCTCCCGCGCCCCGACAGGGTGCTATTTAGCCCCCCCCCCCCCGTGCCTTCCCATTTTCTCTATGGCGCCTATGTTTGTTTAAGTAAGTACAAAAGACAATGAATAAGTTGGGGTACTTTAGTCGTTTACTAAGCTAAAACAGGCGGTTCCACCGGCGCCCCAGCATGGTGCGATTTGGTGCCCCGGGCTAGACTATGAGCATTTTGCGTTTATGTTTGCGTGTGTGTTGGCGTTTGTGGTTGGGTTTGTGTTTGGATTTGGGTTTGTTTTTTGTTTTTTTGCGTTTGTGTTTTGTTTGTGGTTGGGTTTGTGCGTGTGGTTGGGTTTGTGTTTTTGTTTATATTTGTATTTGTATTTGCGTTATGTTTGCGGTTTTTTTTGTGTGTTTTGGTTTTGGTTGGTTGTGGTTAGAGTTAATTCGAAAGTAATATATTTCCTAAATCCGGGCAATGCTGGTATATGCTGATTACGTTACACACAAGTCATGGTTCTATACAGATAGGTTTTTCAAGGTGTCAGTGCAGGGCCTGGCCGGGACGGCTAGGGTGCCTATATGGTAAGAATTGAAACACTAGCGGTCAATACTTTGTTAGAGATCTGTATGTTCTGACTGTAAACCTCCTAACCTATCCAGCACCTATTTGTTGAGACTAACCCTGGTGGTGTTAACTAGTTTATGACAGGTGGGTCTGACCAGGGGACAGGTGATCCACGCGACACAGCTGAGCAGGGTGAATCAAATGTGTACACAAACTAGAGTGTAACATGTGTACATCCTCGTCTTCTCATGGGAGGGGGTTAGCACCTAGTGGCGTCTTCTCGTGGGAGGGGTTTGGCATCCCATGGCGTCTTCCCATGGGAGGGGGTTAGCACCTAGTGGCGTCAAGTTAAAGCTAAGAAAATGACCCACGTATCACAACTTCCACTCCATCAAACACAAAGTACGTCACTAATGACACCATAACAGGATCAATCTTAAGGGACATCCTTGTTCAAGTTTTCCTGATAAAAAACTCCCACTGAATACCAGGAACAACTGACGATGTCAATAACTGCTGCAGGTGATTAAACAGCGGAATCGTGTCATCAAGACAGCCATTATTGCCATCAGCCAGGTATCCGGTGGTTACAGGGCGAGGGGGGATCTGACAGGGATCGTCACGGCTGGCTGATTCAGGATGTACACGCCACCTCGGGGGTGGGGTTCTGTCAGGGATGGGCTAGGTATTTAATCAATACACTTCAAACATTTCTAATCGCATCACTTAGCATTGGAGTAAGTGGCAAGGAAAGGTAGGCGCCTGCTTCATCGACATTTGGAGAAACGACACCAATAAAACTGCTCTTTAACAACCTATTGCATTAGATTTAACATAACATATTGTAACATAACCACA